AACGCGGCCCGTATTGAACCATGTGAAATGCACGCGCTCACGGAGATTACGCGAGCGCTAATATGGGCGTCCTGTACGTTAGTAGAACCCTGCAACAAAGGCAGCGCATTACGAAAGGTAAAACAACATCAACTCATATCCATGCCCCATGCCCAACGCCACGAAGCTAAGTGGGTTTGAGCGGTGAGAATAGGCTCAAGGCCGTCCAATCGTCGCTCGAACCGACTGAGCTTCAAGGCGATGAGAGTTTGCGAATACCTAGGCAGTGAACGGGTGGAGGGTTCAAAGTTCAGGTTCCTTTTTTCCATGAGCTTACAAGGTGTTCAGCGGAATTATGCCACATACTACATAGCTATAATTGAGCCATACAATAATGCAATCGATCTGATACCTCACTCTGCAATCTAGACCACTTTCTGAACTTGCCCAACCCAAACCTCCACCGGTACCTCTGCTCTATCCGGTCCTTCCAGCCTTCCGTGGCCGCCGTCACATACGAACCCTCTCCTTCCGCCAACACGCTCAAAATGAATTCCAGCTTGTGCCGCCATACTCCATAAAGATCTCTCCGCTGGATCACGCTCCTTGTATCCCAGTAACACGAGTGGAGGGTTCGGCGGGGAATTGAGGCTGATCAGGTTTGAGAGGGTACGGATGAGTGCCGGGAACGACGACGTGTTATATGTCACATCTGCCATCCTGTAAGAAATTAAGCAGTAAGAATACGAGTGCGGCTAGACGAATCCGTGATTTTTGAAATGGGAAGAGCAAACGCAGAGGCAATGCGAAAGAACATGAAAACCTGGGTCTGACGAGCCGAGATGAGGGAAGCAGAGACAACATACACGATAACATCGAATCCCCCTCGTAACTCCCGCGCATATTCAGGAAGCTCCTCATCCCAATCCAGAACTTCTGGCCTCGGACGAGTAGATGGCTGAGAGAATAGATGAGAGTTCGCGGAGATATTTTCTTCGAGGAGAGACATTGCGGAAGCTGGTTGGACAGAATACGTCGTTGTCAGGCACGCTCTATTCAAAAGAACCAAAAAAAGAGGGGAAACTCACATAGATCCGTAGTAAAAATACATCCATCGTCAACTTCCATTGCTCCTTTTTCATTCGAATTCTCCAGAGTTGATGACGAAGGCCACGGTACAAGTGCAGATCGTAATGCGCCAATAGTTAAAGCGACAATTCCAGTTCCTGCACCTGCGGACCCGGACGGGTTAGTTTAAGTTCAGCCAAATTTTGAAGAGAAAAGGAAGTAAAATTAGAACGGAATCTTCCGCAATATAAAAGACTCAAAAACAAAAGTACTCGGTGAAGCTTTGGATAAAAATCAAGCTGATGACTTACCGAGTTCGATGATTTTTCTTGATCCAGGCCCGAAGAGGGCGTATCTGAGCGAGGCCAGTGGTGAAGCTGAAGACGAAGTTTCGCTTTGGACATTTATATCACCTTTGGCCAGGGAAACGAGCCACGATGAAAGTCCGATGCCACTGTCCCATACTTTCTACAATTGCTTGAGCATTGTCAGTTATTATACGTGTCCAAATCGTGAGGTGCGAGTGTACACCGATGATAGGACTTTTTACTGAAAACTCTTACCTTATCCAAATCAAACGACGTCTGTTCTGTGATTCTCAAGGCTAAAGCTTTTCCGTCACCACCGTTTTCAAGATCAAACCATCCCAATCGGTAATGCCTCTCAATTCTCTCTTGTTTCTTCTTCCCCTGATCCTTTCCCGTATTTTTTGTAAAGTTTATGGGCATAGATATGACAGGAAACGGGAGAGTATTTCCGAGTTTATCATCCAGGCCCGAATCCAAATTGACTGAAAATCGTTCCGGCTCGGCCGTTAGAACTAACCTCCAAGCTGCTATATCTCGATTCAAGGCTGGCGATTGAACAGTGATCTCTTTATAAGCGTTTTCTGGTCGGTATTTCGTGAGTTTTATCGGTTTCGTCGGTTTCGCGGAACTGGAACTGGTAATAGGGATCCAAGAATAAAATATATCTATTTCATCTTGAAACGCATCTGTTCTTAAATCATTGGATACTTGTGGCGTGATGATTACCGGAGAAGAAGGGACTGCTTGCAGGGGTGGTGGCCGGAGGAAGGAGAGGTAGTAGAACATGCCAAGATGAAGAGACGCCCAGAATCGTGAGCGCTTGCAAAAGACCCAACTTCCGTTCTTTTGTTTCCTAGAGGAGACTGGTGCGTAATGTTCTCATCTTCAGTTGTCATTTTACTCCACAATTCGGACCCATCAGAAGGCAGAGGAACCGAAGCCACAATCAGCCTATCGGAAGGTGTTGATACAGAGAAATGAACCTTAGATTACCGAGGTATCCCAGCCATTGACGAATAAGGCTACTTGGTCTGTCCTAACCCTTGGTTAAGTATTTGCAGTAAGGGCTACCTGTCGCCGACAGTGGTACAGTGGTGATAAAGTTCACCTAATTCCGTCGAAATCAACGGCTCGGACCGCTGACATGGGAGTCTCTAATTCGCTCGCGTGCATCTTGCGCGACTGGTGCTACTAGGTGCTACATATCATGGCAAACCTGCACTTCCTGAATGTCCAGGAATCACAGGTTAGGCTTGGCGGCGTCATTGGAGACGTCAGATTTTTTCCCTGTTCTATTTGTCAAACGTCTCCGGGACCCACTTTTATCGACGCTATTCATCGGGCTGCTCGACGCTCCATCTTCATGGGGCTATTAACTTTTTTTTCCACGCAAAGACGCAGACACTTTCAATTCACGATGCAAAGCAACCTGACCCAGACCTTTCAAGTTATCTCCTTTTTTATCACTCAGAAATGCCGCTGATGTTTAAAGCTGCCAGGATTTATGTACTATCAAGCAATATAGATCATAAGGTCTCCTTGCTATAGTTACCTAGAATACATAGATAGCAGATCCACCCTCGCCACAAGCCGTGTTCGGACGCTCAAGGCGAAGCTGGAATGTATAATTCATTTCGCTAGATGTCCACCTGAACCATTCCATTTCAGCTACGACCTGAACCTTATAAAAGTGGGTCAGCTCGACGAGGGATCTCTTACAAGTCACCATGAAGCTCTCATTGGGATCGCTGCTTGCTTTTACCAGCTCTCTAACTCTACCTGTCATCTCACGTTCCTCCTCCGTCATTATACCACCCACAATTCAGAATGGTTCAACTATTTCTCAATATATCTCCTCCTCGTACAGACTCGATGACTCAAAGGTACTCAACATCAACTCCACTGTGTTTGGAGAAGTATGGTACTTTGATGTCGTCTCATCTAAGAGCCCCGATCATGCGCTGGTAGTAGCTTTCCTAGCGTCTGCCACCGACTCTGGCTACGCGTCCAGTACTGCAGTCTCCAGTATACTTTCAGCTCAGGTAGCTGTAAGAGCTGGAAATAACATTTATGCGGAAGCGAATTTGGCAAATTACGCAGAACTGCAGACGCTTGGCATCGGTACCAGTGGCTTCTGGAATGGAACTGGATGTAGTTTTTCGGCATCCAAAGACTTGTCAAGGATGACGATCGATTTATCTGACCCTTTCGACATTACTGGCTCAATCATCTTGGAATCTGTAAGTTGAATAACATTTATACTTGAAGCAAACTGAAGTACATTTTCATGAATTACAGATTGCGCCTCCGCATCTTCCCTGCTCTCCAAACGAAATCGGAGCAAACATGGAATTTGCCCCTGGTTTTGGGTGGGTTAACGCTGTACCATATGCGAAAACAACGGTGGACCTAAGAATCAACGATACAACTGTCCAATTCGTGGGTAATGGGTATCACGATCTGGTAAAGTTCTCAAATAATTAATGCGCTATTCTCCACCTAATGTAAGCGCGTACGTAGGCTTGGGGAGACACAATCTTTTCAGAGACCCTACCAAATTATCTCTGGGCCCGTGGAACATTGGGCCCTTATTCTATGGTTTTACTTGTAGGCGTAGATGCAAGTGGTGTTCAGAGAACGAGCGGATATATCTCGAGGGACGGAAAAATCCTCGGAACACCCTGTTCTGGCGTGAACGTTGCGGTTGAATTTGCTGATAAAAATTCCACCACGGGTCCCGTAAAGGATTTCACAGTTGAAATCCCCATCGAAAATGACCTTTTTTTCAAAGCCTACATTACTGCCATCGCTATCCTTGTCGATACGGATCCACGATACCATGGAATGGGATTCATCTCTGGAGGTATAAAAGGCGGAGATCTAAATTACAATGGAACTGCGAGCTTCGAATACTCACAACCTTTGGCTTCTTTCCAAACTTGAAGCTACTTGGTACGCGTTGTATGTTAGCACTTCATAATGAGTACGCGTGCTTTCTCATGGTAATTTATATCTTCTTCGGTAAGGCGCGCACATACTACGCATGAAATAAGTTTATTCGGAAAGGGGCGCCAAGAGGCATGTCTAATAGCAACCGAACAGTCGGCAGTATTAGAGAACACAGCGACAGGCAAAAATCTCTAGGGCAGATAAGGAGTATCATCTCAACGTCAAGATTATTCGGTGCAACCGTCGAAGATATAGCACACCATCCAATCGCGATGCAGTTCGAGTCCATTTACTTTATGGCCACCGAAGAACTATATTCGCTGGCACTGCCATCTCTGCTCAGAGCCCTATCAGAATAGGCTCAATTTACTCGCATGAAGCTTGCACACAGTGCCTGACCTATCCAAACTTCCCCTGCTCAAACAATACACTGCAATACAAATCCAAACACTTAAGTGGCCCACTCCTAGGTGGGATACCGTACTTGGGAAACTTGCTCTTCCTGGGCTTCAAGTGCTTGGACGATTCTAGCTTCTTTGTGGCCCGATTCCCCTTCCTCTAATCTGTCAACGACGGGGCTCGGGCGCACCGGCAAGCGCTGTAGATCTGTAGGGCAAAAATTTCCAGCTGGAGGCGTCGAGGGCAGTATGTAGCACATCCGATCACTTTTAATCGCCGCCAGTAGTGATACTGTATGGCCGACTAGCTCAGTTGGTTAGAGCGTCGTGCTAATATAGTCGCTAGCGATCAATTGTAACGCGAAGGTCTTGGGTTCGATCCCCACGTTGGCCAATTTTTCTTGAAATTATTTTTCTCTCTTCCTTGCTTTTATCTCAAAACATTTGATTGATCTTACAATTTGTTTGCAAGCTTGGTCTTTCTTTTCATAGATTCTTAAATATTTGCCAACCCATACTTTATGCTTTTATCGCAGCTGATGTCTATTCTCCATAGCAGCAAAGTATACATGCTATCTCAATAATAAGCAGATAAAGTCTCTACCAGGACAAAAAAAAAGGCGTCAATAATCAGAAATCTAAAGTAGCGAAGAGAAATCCAAATAACGTCCTTTAAAACATCTAGTATCAGGTGAAAGAGTAAATCATCCCGAAGTGGTACGCAGATAGACTCTGGCTAGTAGCAAGCAATACCTACAAATGCATCCAATCCATGATCCTCGCAAGCCTTCAGAAGTAAAGTCAGAGATAAAGCATGCATACACATACATCCGAGTCCCAATTCCGTTTTTCATCAGCAAAAGAAAACTAAAAAAAGTTCAGTGTTTGCGTTCAAGTACGTTCGTCATCCGAGCTATCAGAGTCTAGATCATCTAGAGGTATAAATCGTCTCCCTTCTCGCTGCTATGGAAGAGGGCGAATAAGTCATAACCAGCTTGAGCAGACAAAGAAAAAGCACTCACCAACGGAGAGCGCCGCCGCCGTACCGTCGGAGGAAGCATGGGTTTCTTCGTAGAGGCAAACATACTAGAAGGACTAGATGGCGGGATAAGAGTAACTGCAGCTGATCTAGGCGTCGCTGGCATCTGTAGACGTTGTGGAAATAGGTTAGCAGGATTGGGAGCAGCAGCCGATCGTGACGAAGGTGTTGCTTGGGCTTGATGACGAGGGTAAGGCGGTAGAATTCCTGCTTTTGGAGTGGCACCCTGTACACGGGATGGACCCAGCCTATGCCTAGCGGGAGTGGAAGTTGTACCAGCAAGTGCGCTGGAATTCGTGTTCGTATTAGTTAGCTTGAGGTTTGAAACAGAGGATACCGGTTTCATAACTGGTTCTGGCATTGCTGGTAGAAGTTTCCCGTGGGGTCCGGAAGGCAACATGGCGGGCGTTACTGTCGAAGGGGCAAATTGCAAGTTCTGATGCACCGTAGATGCGTTCGCAGTCAAATCCATCGGAGATCGTTCCAGCGTTTTCGAAGTGGATGGCGGGGCGTATTCTGGTCGAAACTGAGCTATCGACTTCCCCATCGCAGCAGGAAGGTTTGAATTATCCACGGTACCAATAACGCGCATATGGGCGTCCCCAGTAGATGGAGAAAATGTCGATCCCCTACCGGCCGCGTTGCTTGATAAAGATAGTTCAGCCAGAGGCGGCCGACTGGGATGGCTCAAACCCGACTGCTTACGGCGTACGACCGCTGCGACGTTTCGAGGACGGTTAGCAGACCCCGGAAGGTTTTTAGCGTGATTTGGGGAGATTCCAACCGCTACCGAAAGAGGTACGTGCGCAGCAGTCTCATCACCGTTCTCATCCACCCGCTGCCTTTTTCGGGCAGAAGATGAGGGGGTATGTGACCGTTTTGCTGCCGGAGTAGACGGGATCTTCTTGCAATTAGAGGAAAGAGAATTTAGCTGAATTGACTGTAAAGATTTCGATAATGATTCAGTGAGGTTGTTTCGTGCAGATTCGATGTGAATAGGAACGGCTTGCAGAAGCGGAAGCAAAGGAGTGAGGGCGCCGATAATAGTACTTTGCTGGTCTTGAACAGATTGAAGGGCGCGAGCTTGGTTCTGCAGCATTTGTGAATACGTCTGGCTGAGCTATGCAATGTAAAGTATGAGCTGCGGCTAACAAGACAAGTGCGAATTAAGAAAAACCATTTGCATCGAATTGAGCCGCTGATCCATACTCTCTAATTTCAGCTCAACGTTCTTCCGGAGGTCTTCAAGTTGGTTAGCTTGTGCAGGACTTCCTACCGTCTTCTGGATTTCCGATTGACTTCTACTTACTATAAACAGTTGGAGCGCACGATAACCATTATAGAAAATGAAATGATACTCACGTTTATCCACAAAATCACCTAAAAGAACTTCCCGGTCCTGTTCAAACAAGGTCTTGACCGTAACAATTTCCTGCTTCGCGCAGTCGACTTTGACCGTCAAATCTTCGACAGACTTTGCAAACTTTTCCAAATGCGCTTGAGTATCGAGCAAAAGTATACGTGTGGATGTTCCAAGTTTGTCTGAGGGCGCGAGAGGAGGTAGTGGAAGTTGATTGGCTTCAGTAGAAGAATTGCCTTGCTGAGCGTCTTTGCGTAGAAGATGAGCCCAAAGAATGGAAGACCCCGAGGGTTTTCCGGAGCTTATGTATGTATCTGAGCGCGAAGAGCAGGTTCCGGCACTAGATGAAGGCAAAGAGTCCATCGGAATTGACTAAACAAGACGAAGGTGATGGCAGTTCAAGACTGAGGACCGTAACGCGGACCGGCAAACTTTTTTCTCTGAGTCTGAGCGATACGATATGCATATTCTTTCTAAGATTTTTTTTTTCAAGTTACAGAATAGCTACCGTTCGCGTTAACTAGCAATGGTAATATCTAAGACTGGACACGCTTAAATGAGCGAAGCACGCTGTGAAGGGAGACACGATCCAAATTCAGATTGAGAGCCAATTTCCCCAACTCAGACATCCTAGAAATCTTCGAGGAGTTCTGAGGACCACGCTTCGGGACATGACCAAGTCGAAGATACCAAAATACAAGGACTGGACGACAACCAGACACTCCCCGCGAGCGTCAAAGAGGGAGCAAGACACGACCTGTTCTCGTTCTGCTTCAAACCTTGCGCCAGGATAGTCATACTGCTACGGTTCTGGAAAGCAACAGTCAAATTCTTGCTAGATGGGAACAACGCGAGCATATGAGTGGGTACAAAGAATTGTAACTTCCGCAAGCTTCACACTCTGAATCAAGCAGGGCCGACAAAAGGTGAACAGAGTTTTCAAACTAGTCAGCATCCGAAGGAAGTACCAGGCATCCGGAGAGAAAGTCCTGGTGGATACCATTAACTTGCTAATGTTACAAACAACCATTGTCTACTATTTGCATCAACAGGCAGCAGAAATATTAAAAGCCAGACCCTCTTCAATGAATGGCGCAAGCTGTGTAGGGAGAGAATTAGAGAGGTAACAAGCAGATGCATGATCCAAATTCAGATTGAGACTCAGTTTCTGCAACCCGGATGTCGAAGGAGTCGTGATGGTCGTACGTCGGGATACGACCACATCGCATATCCCGTCACAAAAGGACTGGACGTCAGCCAGATGTCCTCTTCCTGCGAGCGTCAAGGAGCAAAGATTAGGAGCAAGGCACGATCCGTCCCCATTCCGCTTTAACCCTCGCACCAGCATATATATATCGTCCAAATTCCGGAAAGAAACCGTTAAATTCTGGGTAGATGGGAATAACTCGATGAAATCGAGCATTGGTTTCTGAATGAAAACAAAAAATTGTAATTTCAGAGTACGAAGCTCGCACTGTGAGTCAAGCAGCATCGATGAAAGGTGGACAAAGTTTTCGAATTTGACAGCACCTGTCCCGAGAACGCGCAATTCAGTCAAGTTCGGTAGCCGAAGGAAGCGCCAGGCGTCCGGATAGAATGTCCTGGTGGATACAATCAGTTCTGAAAGCCCCGAGGTATGATATCCCGTTTCTTGTATCCATGTATCGTCAACATCGTCCTCCGCATATATAAAGGACCCGAGAGCCAGACTTTTGAGCGCAGGTAGAGGTCGAAGCAAGTGTCCAATGGATTTCCCAGTAAAGGAGGTTAGTGAGAGTTCAGTTATTTGGGAGAAATCGAGGTCGTGACCCGACCATGAGAAGGAAGATCCGTAGTAGGTCTTGAGACGAGGACAGATCGAGAGTGTCTGAAGAAAATCTATGATACCTTCAGACCAAGGTAAATGAGCAGGTATCTCGAGATATTCAAGAGCAGGACAATGTCCTAAATGGATTCGACTTGTATCCGACGAGGATAGGGATTTTAGCATGGTTGTAGCATATACAAACCACTTCTCAGCAGAATACTCCGAGGCGCTAAGCGTTGCGCGACGCCATCTTGTCGAGTTATCCAACAGAATGGCAACTGCCTCCTCGACCTTTGGACTAGGCCAAAAGTCGTCTTCCTCTACGTAATACAAGTCCAATGGATGATCTCGCGAGTACTCGAGATACTTGATAAGGATTTCAAAAGTTCCAGGGTTTAGTCGGAACCCCCGGGATGAAAATCTGAGGGATGACCAGAAAACGGGCCGAGACTGGAGGTATTTCCGCCAAGAAGAGCACACGTGCGAGAGTTTGAGCGGTGGGCAGGAGAGATGGACAGAAGCAGCGTCGTCCCACCATGATAATGTGTAGCCACCCTCCTGAGAAAAGCAGTAAAAGGCGAAGATTTCATCCAGCAACTCTGCTGGGAGCTTGCGGATGGGAGCAGAGATAATCGATTGGGCATTGACAGAATGTTGCTCCAAATCTTGCCGGGCATTCTTCAGAGCAGCTAATGAGTGCTCCAACTCTGAGATCGATTGATTTAGCATGGCAAGTCTGTGCGGGGTCTCCTCCAGGAAAGCGTTAATCCGCGAAACTTCCCCGAGAGATACGGAGAAATTGAATGGTTTATGAGAGTATAAGAGCTGTTTCAGACCCGGGTCAAGTCCATGAGAGGCTGAGGTGAATTTTGAGAGGCAGCTGGGACAAAGAAGGGGGGTAGACGTTGAGTGTACGGTGTCGGGAAAGAAACCCAAACTGGAAGTCGCCGTCATGTTCAGGTGTAGATTGTGAATGAACTATTGAATAGAATTGCGATCAGTAAGAATTGGCAAGTAGAATTCATGGTGCTCACTTTCAAAAATCGAGTACGCGGTGACTGTGTAGGCGAGAAAAGAAACACGGTAAACGACACGTTTGCATCCTGAATTTTACGCGGTATACGCGGTATACAAATAAGCGCACGAATAAGCGCCTATATCCCTGGCGCTTATTTGCTTAGACTACTT